TATATATAATCACATCTAACTGTAACAGCAGTTCACACTAAAAACTAAACTAAGAACGAAACAAAAAACCCTAGAGAACTAGATATTAAGCTGAAAGAAAACAAATAACTGGGTAGAGCAGAGAAACTGAACATCCACCACAGCTCCAGGAAACAAAGCCTGTAAAACAAAAACACCAAGAAACCACAAGACAACAAGCAGGGGTATAAATATAGGGGAAAGGAAAATAAGAAACACCTGAGCACAATTACAGGGCGAGGTAACAGACAAGACACAGGTGAAGGGAAGGACGAAAGGGCGGAGCCAAGGAGAAGTAGGAAAACCAAAGCAAGAAGAAAACCACATTGCCAGAGACACTAGGGAGACTGTAAACAAGAAGGGAAAACAGACAATACTTGTAGTTTGTTTCTCTTGATCTGGACCAAAGCAGAAAATCATGCATTGTTGTGGTTTGTTTAGAGTTCACACTGACACATTTAACATCAAACCAAAAGAAGCAGAAACAGAAGTCATCAGAGGTAAAGATCACAGCCGATCGGCCAGATTTTATGATGTACAACAACTGTGATAGTGTCCACTAAACTTCATGCTATTCTCAGTTCTATCTGGGCTTGTTGGTTATATTTATGCTTTGTTTTACCTGTCTTTTGATATTAGAAAAAAAAGCTACAAGACTTCTGGCTCCCTGTAGTTTTTTGCATGACACAAAGCAGGGTGAATCCCTGTAACAGCTTTGAGTGGCTTACTGCTTTTGCAAAATGGAGAAAACTTGCCGCTTTTATACATAATTCATTTGTGCAGTCAAATGTGTATATCGAGTATTTTATAATGACATTAAACATGCATCAGCCTCATATAAAACCCAATCTATACATTCTAAAGCCTAATTACCAACTCAGAAAAAAATTCTGGAGAGAGTAAATGATGGTTCTGTCTTTGGTCTGTTTAGACATCTTGGTTTGTATTGCATTCACCCTTCAAAAAGAACCACACCAGAGGTAGTTTGAAACAAACTGCGACCGACCTGATGAGGGGGTATGTTTATTTGGTGTGCAGAATTTGAATGTCAGCGTTCTCACTTGCTCTGATTAACTGCACTTACACAGCAAACACACTGGGATTTGTTTTAATCTAACTAAAAGCTGTCAAGTCTAAATGCACCCTAAAATGGCTTAAAGAGATATTACTGAGGAGATTAGATACAAGATAATACACTTGAGTAAACAACTGTGTAAGGCCTGGTAGACTGGTCACCATCAGATAAACAGTACGTAAAGCTTTCATCTCTGAAAGAGAGGAGAAAATCAAGCTCCTCTTGCTTCAGATTTGAAAAAAATCCACAGGTGTTTCTGTCCATCCTTCCACTGTGAGAAAACAACTGAGCACTATGGCTCTGAAAGGATGTGCAGCTGTCATTAAGCCGTTACTGAAGAAAGCATCATTTGCACTAGAACACCAAAACTGGATATTTGAGATGTGGAGGTTTTATGGACTGATGAGTTTAAATTTGTGATGGGGACTGGGGACAAATAATGCAACCAACTTCTAGGACTACATTTTGGAGGTGTGACAAATATCATTGCAAATTTCTTTGAAACACTGAAAGCAAGACTCTCTAAAAGAATGGAGGCTGTAATAAAGGAAAAGGGTGGTAAAAATGGAAGATTTAGATATTATATCTAGTTATTGAGACTTGTAAAATGTAAAAAAAATAAATCCTGAAAAGGAATAACTTGTACTAAGTATCTGTTGTGACCAGAAATTAAATAAATGGAAGGGTGGTCTGTGACTTTTGCACAGTACTGCATGTCTCATATGTAAGCATCTATTGGTAATGAGAATGTTCTGAGCTGAACACTAACATTGACCTTGATCTTAGTAACCAAAATGTTTAGTAACCAAAATGTATTTTTTTTTTATTTTTGCCCTTTTAAGTTCTTTTTAATGAAATGTGTAGCTTTAGGAAGCACTTTACAAAGTCAAGATCATTTGCTGGTCCTTGCATTTTAGGTTAGCCCTGTTTTGTCATGACTTTTTTTTTTGTCCTGAAAATGTACAAAAACAAACACACACCACGAACAAATCTGTACTGGTCTTGGAGGCACAATATTTCCCCAGTAGTGCTGATTCTCAATAGTGCTAAGTTGTTTAGCATGAATGAACTCACTACCCTTCACTCATGTCTAATCACTGTACTTTAACCAGAAACTAAAGTGAGTTTATAATGAACACAGAAAGACCATGAACTTCTATACCACTCAGTTCAAAATCAAACCAGGTGGACTGACACAAGCCAGAAGAATCAAGCCAGATTAAACAATACAAGCATGACCATGGGGGGGCGTAAGTGGTAAGATATTGAATTGAGGCCTCTTAGCACTCACATCTCTGTGAGTGAGGCAGTGAGCCTGTTCCCCTCTGCTGCGTTTTCATTCCCTCTCAGTGTGTTGCACAACAGTATCACCAAGTAAATGCTGCATATGACATTTTGAACACTGGGTTCCTGGCTAATGCGTACAGGGAGACAGATGTATTGAGGTAATGGGAGTTCATGCATGTCACATTTGTGGTGCAGTAATATGTTTTCTGTGGCTGAAATGGCCAGCTGCCATTATCAATACTGAAACGCTTCTCTCACAGATACTCTGCTTCCCCCTAAATGTGTTTAAGGCATTCATAACCAAGAATTTGTACTGGCATTGAGGATCAAGGCCCCATGTGTGTTTTGAATGGAACGCACCACTCTTCAGTCTCTTTTCAGCATTAATCAGTGTCAGTGCCAGGTCTTTGGAATATGCGTGACTGTTGGAGTTCAGTTTTATCCTCATATTCGGGCCTAAATTGGACACAGGTACTTCAGTTCAGTATAAATGACTAACTGCTGCCTCAGTTGTATGCATGTATGTGCAGAGAATGAGTTTATGAAGCTTGAGTGATGCCAGAGACCATGTCCTGGTCTAGAGGAAAGTGAGGTGAGCTAGCAGTTAGCTGGCTTTAGTAAATGCCCTGAGGGCACAAAGAGCATTTAGTACCACTCGCCTATAATTACCTGATCTCACTGGACTGTGATTAGCCCTGTCAAAAACAGTGATTAGAGGAAGCCTACACACAAACACACAGCAAGAGTGTATCTGTGACCTGTGGCACCCTAGCCGAGGTTTGACCCCAAACTTCCAACTGTATGAATTCATGAGTGCATATGGGGAAATCTAATAAACGGTGCTGGCTGTCAAAAAAGGCACATAAACCAAACCCACTAGCCTGACCCCCTGCAAAAGGGTAAAGGTCAGTTTTTTCCTGCTGCAACATTATTAGATAAAAACCTTTAATAGATACAAAATTACAAGACAGAACCTCTGACCACTTGATGGACAGCTAGATATTTTTTTAATCCCAAAGGCAACTGGATAGTCACAGCCACATAATAAGAACCATACAAATCATACATATCACTATTAGAACGAAACATTTTAATAGAAACTTGCAAGATAAGGAAAATGTTAAATAGATGTTTGTTAATTTTGGACCACTTCTATTGGTCCGTTCATCATGAAATGTTTACACGGTGTAGAGGTCAGCTAGCATTTTCAAATGTAAGGAAAAAAGAAAAAAAATGAGATACATGGTACGAGTGCTGTTGGCACTGTCCTGTCTGTTTACTGTTTTTGCTGTCTGTTTAAATTATCGTATTGTATTGTTTCTAGTTTAATGTTTTGCACACTTACGTCTGCACGTTTGCACTTCGTACTATTTTGTTCCATGTTGCACCTTGTTGGTCTTGGAGGAACATAATTTCGCTCCACTGTGTACTTGTACATGGATGGAATGACAATAAAAGCCTCTTGACTTGACTTGGTTTTGATTCAACAAAAACAATATACTATGAAGAGCTCAAAAGTGTATACTGTGAAATAAACCAAACAAAAACAAAATAATAAGGAATCGGAAAAGGATTTTTTCAGCGAAAAAATAAATACAATTGTCCACTTATACTAGATGTAGGTGACCAGTGGAAACAGGTTTTGTTCTTTAGTTAGTGCTGAAGCTACAAGGCAGACATTGCTAACAAACGTCACCCAAATCTTTTCTGTAAATAGCTGCCTGCTGTGTTTAGCTACACAGAGGTTCTGTTCATTTTAAAGTTCACAGTAAGACACAGTGCTTCCTAAACCACACTGACAACTCTGCCTGACCTTAATCAAGACCTGGGTGTAGTTTGAGCAGGTTGAGAGAAGTTTTGGGCATGTACTTACAAAAGAAATTCAACATTAGTTTTGCAACTCTAGTGCTAAAAAAACCTTTTTTAGTGCTAGAGTGATACCATTTTGCTGTACTGTAGCCTCTGTACCTTTTCTTACGTGTTCTCTAATAGTGTGCAAGTTACAGTCTGGGGGTTTCAAGCAAAGCTAGTTTCTATACTTGCTCTTCTCTGCAATGAATGCTGAATGTTTGATAATCCAATAATTGTCAGCCAATTAGACCTTTGGATCTCTGGTTACTTGTGCAGGACAAGATCAAGCATGTGAGACAGAAAGACAAGTTGCCAGGTCATATGGCAACTTTATGATTGCCATAATGGACACTTGTGGTCTTGGCTTAATAGAGAGGTTTTTAAAAGCCTTTTTGACTATTGCAACAAAACCTGCAGTTTTCTCATGGCTGCTACCTGCCTGTGCAGTTTTGCAACAGCTAGAACTGTTATACAACCCCTTGAGGTTCAAGATGGGTTTATCTTGATTTGTTCTGTGCTCTAGAGGAAAGAGCTTTAACATGCCATGCATCCATATAGTCTCAGCGGTAGATAAGCACCTCACCATACATGGTTCTGAATTGCAGAGCACAGCTACCAGTCAAAACAAGGTGAAAGGTTGGGAGAAAAGTAGTGTAGGGCTTAGTCTGCCACCTCCTGGTGAGGTGTACAGTGCAAGAGAAGACACTTCTCATCTTAGTTTTAATGTTATTTTTTATTCTTCACAAAAATCAAAACAAGTGAGTGCTTTTTGAAAAAAAAAAAGAAATAAGCAACAACAAAAACAAACACAGAAATATTTGCACTTCTAGTCATAAAAAATGAACATCAGTCACTAATTTACAGCCTATTGAGGAATTTATAAATAGAAAATCAGACATTAGGTGAGCATTTAGTCATGCTTTATGAACCGACTATGCAGTCAATGACTGGGCTTGTTTTGTCACGACAGGTCTTTCTTATTCCTTCAGTATATCTGTCAACAGCAGGATCACAGCATGGCACTGATATGTGAACTTCAAACACTATATTCCATATTGTCCATGCTTTACATGGACCACTGTGGACACTGCTGTGGGCCCTTTCCACAAAACTTGTGAGCCAAAGCCAGAAACTGTGATAATCATCAAACTATATGTTTCAAAAGACCGTTAGTGGTTTGGTGCATTTTGGGCTCTTACTGTAAACCAACTAATGCTAGAAGCAGCAGCTTGCTGGGGAGCCTCCTAAAGCAGACAGGGCAGATGTGTTCTTTGTGGGCCTTCATTTCACCACAAACAATTCACCGCTTCTCTAGTTTCTTAAACTTGGCTTCTGTAAATAAAAACAAGAGACATGGAACACTGAAACAATCTGTTTGAAGAAATACTACTCAAATCTTCATTCATCTTCAATCATCATTAGAAAAATACATTGTATAAATAAGTTACAAACACTTTAATGATTTAATAATTAAATCGTATCAAACTGGAGATCATACAATGTGGTCATTATCCAGTCTGAGATCATATGTGAAGCATGACCAGAGTGCAATGTTTGGTCTCACTGCACCATCTAGTGGTACAATTTGATAAAGCAATTATTTCAGACAGAACCAGAAATCAACTCATGCGTGTGACATTTAACTAGATAAAAGTGGCAAATAAGGCACGTTAAACATGTATCTGCATTACTGAGACATTAACTTTAAATATGTAGGTCAATGCATCTCATTGCCCTTACCCAGTTTTTTGGAATATGTGTCCAGTTTATATGCTGCTTGCTCCAGAGCTGTAACCTGTTCCTCAATCTGGTTTATCTGATCTAGATATGGCTGCAAGCTAGCATCTACAAAAACAGAACAAAACCTGTGATCAAAACGCAGTCTAAATGGTGAACCATGGGTGATAAAATACCTAGAAAATACACGTTATAGCCAGTGTATATACACATCTTTTTGTTTTGATACTTGAAATTTGTTGCTGTTAAAGCAATGAAGTAGATGCCATTTGGTTTAATGCAGAATATAATAAATAGAAATAAAAAAATAAATAAAGAAGTCAAAGTCTCAATTAAAGGACTCACATTTCTGATTGAGGTCTTGTAGGTTGCGACTGATGTTGATTGATATGTCCTTCATCTCCATGTACTTTAGACTGGTGAGTTTGTTCATATTCTCCAGAAGTTTATAGTCCTCGCAGGTGGCTGGTAATAAAACAAACAAACAAATAGTTTTTTTTTAATTTTATTTTGTGAATTATGCAGAGAAGTGTACAATCTTGTGTTATTGTCACTGTGCAAAAAAAGTATAAATTTGTGTATAAATTGTGTAAAGAAATTTACGATGATTGGACCAATAGAAATGCTCCAAAATTGCTTGGAAAAAAATCTTCTTACATCAACTTACATTGAAGTAAAGAACGTTTTTGCCCTCTCCCGTAAAGTAATCATTTTGAGGATACTTGTTTTGCTTTGGGCGTTACGCTATGATTTAGGGATGCTCTGCTATGGGAATTCAGACAGATACTAATAACCAACACTTTTTATGCATCTATCTGTTGATGGGGACACTGATGCTGATATATAAACATTTTTAAAATGTAGAACTGGAGACTAGATCCATCTGGAGTAGCATCACAGAAAAACAGAAACACTTACTAAAATTAATAATTATATTAAATAAAATAAAATTTAGCATAGTAAATCAAGCATCACCTAAACATATAGAACATAAAATAAATCATCAAACGTAAAATATAAATATCTGTCCGATGCCAGTATTTTTTCAAACAAATATCTGCTGGTACTGTTAAAATTCCAGTATCTTCATGCGTCCCTACGATGAACCGATATCTATGCTACTGATTGACACCAAATATGCAGACTCTTCTGGTGCAGAATGTTTTTTGTTTTTTTAAGTTTTTAAATCTCACAGTTAGTAATCATGTAGTCTTCCTCATCATGAGAGGCCACATTTTATTGCTTTGCTTTCAAACCCTTATCAAGATGATTGGTGCAAATCATTAAGGTAACACAAACAAATCCTTGGATCCCTTGGAACTTCTCTTTCAATGAGTGCCTTTACATGCACTTAATAATCTGATCTTAATCAGGCTTTGGCAGTTATCTTATTGTTCAAGTAGTCATGTAAACAGCATAGTCTGATTTCTTAGATTGGATTAAGGCTGTTATTGGATTTCTAGAAATCCGATTAAGAGACCTGGATATTAGCTCAGTAATCAGGTAGGTTTTTAGTGCATGTATGCCGTCAATCTGATTTCTTGCATTTTTTCCAGTCTGCACAAGTGTGAAAACAAGGCGCTGTCTCGGAAACAGCAAGCAGTGTTTACACAGCACCCAAAAGATGGCAACAAAACACTTTTGGAGAGATGCAGAAACCACCTACAAGCCTGATGAAATTAAGAAGTTGAATATTCTTCATCTTCTAGATGACTTATATTTGTACTTTCTGGGAATGTATAAAAAAAAAAAGCTGCAGCATGACGAAGATTTATACACTGCATTTATGTCGTCTTCTTCTGTGACTTGGTGGGTTGCAAAGCAGAAATCTTATTACTGCCTGACTCACGTAGACCTGGAGTTACCCAATTATCAGATTACTTAAGTGCATGAAAACGCATTGAACGGATTACTGACAAAATCTGATTTTCTGCAGTTGTTAGACTAGGTGCATGTATATGCCCTCAGTTTGATGGACAGATGTTAAGGAAATGTAAACCTGTTGTAATTTACATTGCAAATGCAGTATCCCTTAATTACACAGCATACATATCATTACTGTGTACCTGTGAGCTCTCCTTGCAGAAAAACTGCCATTTTGTCGAACATGTCTCTGCAGAGTTCATTGATGTCAGGTTCAGCAGGCTCAGTAGCTTCTTCTGCTGTTTCCACACCACCGTCATCTGCAACAGACATTCACCAAAGGATCCAGCGTTAGTGAGTCAAGAGGCTTGGCTCTCATGGGGATTTGAAAAACATGTGGTTAGTAAATTGAGTAATGAAACACTACCTGCGTACATTCACATGTGTCTCGTTTCACAAAATTGAAGGCACTCTGAAGTTTACCACAAGGTCTACATGTACAGCCATGGTTCTCAAAGCTGTCCTCAGGGACGCCCCCTCGGTCTATGGTTTTGCTCTCCCTATGTTTTAGCAAATGTGTGGACCGTCTGGGGGGTCCCAGTGGACTGGTTTGAGAACCACTGACGTCTGTATGCAATCTCCACCCACAGACCTCAACAGTTCACTTCAGTTTTATTCATTGCCATTTGTAATTGTAAACATACCTACAATGGAACTTAAATGTATAGGTTACATCCTTCACATTAAAAATGCATCGTCAACAATGACCACATTAAATACTAAAAAACACAAAATGTGTTACGTTACATCGTATTTCACACAGACTCCAGTCACATCTGTCTAAAACAGCATGTAATTTTATATTGCAGACTGCCTCTATTAACTAGCTGATCACAACACACTATTTTAGGAAGCCTGTAAAATAAAGCTGCCTGCTAGCTAGCATGAAGCTAATCATTAAGGTGAAGCACTCACTGTTATTGGTGGGCTTTTTGGGTGCAGGCCCCACGTTTTCGCTCGCACCATCATGGCCCACGTCCTCCCTTTGGTCAGTGTCGGTTCTGAGGTTGAGCACCGCCGGAGGTGAAGCTACTCTAACAACACTGTCCAGCGCAGCTGCCTCCTCTCCTGCGGCCGCCATCTTCACTTCCACTATCACATGACTAGACTTGATCAGCACGTGACTCACCACATTCTTTCCTGCCACACCCTTATTTTATTACGGCTACATTCAATAAAATATACAACATATTTTAATACATATACACAATATGAAGAATAAAGAACATGAGAAAAAAAATATATTAATAACATTGCTGTTATAAATATATTTTAAATGATCGCCCGGCTTGTTTTAATGTCAAAATAACAAATATAATTTGAGGTCACTGTTACTGTTTTGCATCTTTTGTAACAACTGAAGGTGTGTATATATTTTTCTACCACAAGATGGGTGGGTTGGAGAGGCACAGACAGGTTAGACTTTGTGAAGTCAAGATTAGCAACACTGCTGATTCACGGCCTCAGTATTTTCAAAATAAAACTCCTCTCCCACTTTTATTTTTTAAAATGTACGGCATCAAATTCTGTATAAATTAAATTCGGTATAAATATAAATAATTTAATATTAAAATTAAGCATTTATTTTCGCCCTGACAGTCCATGCAACCTCTCCTAATAAAAATAAGATAATAATTGACATTGTAATAATTATCATAATTACATAATCATCTTATAAAAAGCTATTAATGCGAATAAATACATATATTTAAAATGTGCAATTTTGATCAATATATTTATAGAAACGTTTACGATTAATTGAGCTTTTTGCGACTTGTTGACTGCACGAAGATTCAGCAGTAACGGAATAAACCGGCAATTTCAGGTAACGTTAATGAAGGTTTAACATCAAGGAGACTTGAATGATTTTGAAAATGCAGATTCCTCTTTCATATAAAATGTTGACTTGTTGAGAAATTCACACATGTTGCTCTCTCTCTCTCTCCTCCGCTGTGTAGCGACGATGATGATGGGACTCCTCTCTCTCTCCATCGTGACAGGACACCACCGACTGTAAACATGGCGGCGTGCACAGCCAGCGGTCTGCGCGCTTCGCCTCCGTACTGAAGTCCGCAGAATCCACACAGTTTCATCATGGAGACCGAGGAAGAGCAACACATGACGACGCTCCTGTGCATGGGCTTTCCAGACCCCGTGGCCATTCGGAAAGCCCTTCGCCTGGCCAAAAACGACATCAACGAGGCTGTGGCTTTCCTCACGAACGAAAGCCCCGGACTCGGCTATGGCTATGAACCGATGGAGAGCGGCCCCAGCCCGGGTTCCGGCCCGGGGGGAGAAGGCGACAACAGCGGCAGGACCGGGACGGGCGGCTTCGACCCTCCGCCCGCTTATCACGACGTCGTGGAAAGCGAGGTAAGACCACAAAGCTAAAGCCTTACTGCGCATATTTATCGCCCTATTCTGAAAAAAGCGGGCTTTGCAGCTGAATCTCGCAGTGAGTTGAGTTAGCATGACTGCATGTCTAGCTTGGCTAACGTTAGCAGACTCGCAGTGGAGCGAACTGCTCAGAGTGGCTGTCAGAGTCTGGAGGGAAAGTGGCGGCATGCTGCTGCCGGCTGGCGTAGTGGTAGCTGCCCACCCGCCCAACATGTGGCAAATACAGCGCTTCAAGTGATTATAGCCGGCAGCAGGCCCCTGAAGTGTTAAAAGCAGTCATTAGGATTTAATTGTGCCAATAAATGTAGTGAGAAAACGAGTAGCAAGTTTCAGGACTGAAAAGGCGTTTAACGTTTGTAGTTAATAGTTGTAGGTTAGCTAACCAGTAAGGTTTTCGGGGAGGGGGTTCTCATGTTTGCTAGCGAGCAAATATCTACTGGATAAGCATTTTGCACCTGTTACAGTCGAGTAATTGCATTTTTTCGATCGTTGGCACTGTAGTAAGCTAGATAACCAGCTTGAATGTGAAGACCGCTGAAGCGACGGTATCAAGACCATCTAGCTAGCTAGCTATCTATAGGCCTATATGACTACTTAGCTAAGCTAGCTAACCTAGCTAGCTAGCTATCTGTCAAGCAGCAGTGGTGCGGCTCTGCCAAGGGGAGTTAGGTTAGCTAACTAATGATTTTTCTCCGTCTGGGTCAGTTTTGCTCAATATTCAGTGTTAGTCAGTGTGGGTTTAATTACAGAAGCCCGGTGGTCGTTTTAATGTTCTAGGCTGTCCATGTGAGACGTGTTCGGTGCGAGATAAGCTAACTGAAATCACACCAGCTGAGTCAAGTCTTATTTAAAACGTGCAAGTCTTAGGGTCGCTGCTGTGACAGCATTGTGGACGATAGTTCGGTCGTTAGATCTTAACTGTAGTTAGATCTTAAAATTGTAAGGATGATGTGTTCATTTTGTTTGCATAGCTTATTTCATTTACTGTCTAAAGGTTAACGTTATCTCCATCACTACAACTCGAACTCACTTAACCTAACACTTATATAGTTTCTCTGCAAGTCTGCATTTGGTTCTATGTCAGATTGTTAGCTCCAGTTTGTGCAATTAATATCTCCTACAGTATGTGGCAACCTTTAGTCTGACAATGTTCCTCATCATGGCATCTGCTGATTTCTATCATGCCCTGATCGCTGTCAGACCTTTTCTGAAAACGTCTGCTAGATTTTGTTCCCAGAGGACTTGACTTGGCCAGTGCCGTGTGGGTAGTCAGGTTGATTGAGTTAAGAAATACAAGACAGTTTTTCTTTAATTTCTTAAAAATTTAACCTCAAGAAAAATTGCCCATTGTTTCTCTCTGTTATATAGGTGCAGTGATATTAGGGTGCTTGTTAGGCAAAACAGGTTGATGAATGAAGTGTTGGTAATTGGATGAACGGTTGTCTAGGGAGTCCTTTGAAATGAGTGCTCTTAGAGCTTGACATTCTCAGTAGCTAGCCATGGAGTACAACTCTCTGGCCTGATTGATGTCACAGTGTTGGTCTGTTGCGTGAGGCCTTGTGGTTTCACTGCTCATGTTGAAGCACACTGAGATTGCAGTCTTGTCAGAGTGTCTCGTTTATTTCTTTTATACATGTGCAGCCTGTCATTGGTAGTGATCATCAGGCGTGCCAGAGAGCCTGTGCTGATAATCATGTATTGCTGTTCCCACACATTAGAACTATATGCTTCTGCGGTTAGTGAATCACAGAAGGCTGCAAGTCATGTGCTTCATGTAAGCTAGTATCACATCTGCCTGTATCAATGTAAATTCCTATCTGTAAGTAGTGTTGCATAGCAGGTAAAGCCCACTGACCTCTGAAATTTCCGTTCTCACATATTTGTGATGATATGTTTGTTAAGTGGTCTGATTAATGAATAATGTTCCAGCACAATTTGCTCTGACAAAGCAATTTGAAATAGTTATTGTCTCTGTTAGGGACACAATATTGGTTCAGAAAATCAGTGGTTTTTGTCTTAGTCTTATAGATTTGGCCTACCTAATGTTTATGGTTTACTTTAACACTCACACTTCAGCGCTTGACCTCCATACATGTAACTTTGCTCAATACCAATGACATGCTCAGTCACTCTTGCATATATGTAGCAGTATAGAATTACACCTGCTTGTGTTGGTGGTAAAAGGTTGGGCTGCTGTTGCTCGGACATTATTGCCTTTATCATTAGATACAAGCCTTAGGAAGGAAACAAATTAGACAGCTGTGACGTGAGCCGTTTAACATAATGATTAGTACCTCTTGAAATCATACCTACAGCAGACACCACATCGCTTATAGTCCAGGAACAACAACTCGTCTCTCTGCTGTTTATGTCTTGCTAACTATGTATGTTGCCCTTGATGCCAGTGGCCTGTGGGCTAGATTAGGCAATCCCCCCCATACAAGTAGCTTCTTTCATCCACTGCAGAGAATAAAGAAGTGAACTGCCGGAGTAGCCTTGACTGTCAGCTAATTTCAGTACAGTATTGACATGTTCCAAACAGCGTATTGTAAAACTATTGCCAGTGCACTACCATTGTCTTTTCTCAGGGTCTTACGTTTGCAGTATTTTGGGGACACCATTGTCAGTGATCAAAACTAAATGTCTGAATTGGCGCCCGTATCATTTGAACATTTTCAATACCAATTCGATACAATCTTCTTGAGCTTCCACATGAATCACTTCACATGGACGCTGAAGTAAAAATAAATGAATAAATGAATGAAAAAAAATTGAAATAATACATCTGACATTTCCTATGATGAGGTATAGTGTTAATCATTATCACTGATTTGATAATAACTTAACTGTAGAATCTGATAAGCTCTAAATATAGTCATGTAATAAAAAAAAAAAACCTGGCTAATTAGCCTACTAGCCCTACTTAAATCAAGGAGCTTAAACAGTTGAAAACACTGTAGTCATTATTAATGATAAATTAACATTATTAACTACTAGTGTAAAGCATTTACTGCATTTAGGAACTGTGTTCATCCAACAAGAACATACTTTTACAAAATACTGGCAGAACTTGCATTTCTGTGACTGTGCGTTACATTTGTACGTGATTTTTTTTTAGCTTGTTCCTTTTTTGCTCTCTGTGTATTAAGACATTGTCTGACTTTTTTTCTTTTCTTTTTCATTAAAAAAAAATAGTAATCCTTTGTCATATAATTTTGTCCAACGTGTTGAAAATAGGCACAGATTTTTATTTTTTGATTTTAACAGCAAAGTGGGAAGAAAGGGGCATTGGGCTTATGGTATACATGCACTCATGCTCAGTTAATTGGGCTTTTTTCCTAAAGCTGCTTATAAATTCTACAGGTTCTGATTTTGAGATTTATATTGTTTAAAAAAAAAAAGCTATGCTTAAAAGCTTTTATTTACCTGAACCAAATCAATATTATGTATAGTATGTGGCAGTGTTTTCCAGTCTGGAACTCAGGGCCCCCAGAAGGTCCACATTTTTGCTCCAGCCTAACTCAGAACATGCTGGGATGAAGGAAAAACTTGGACCCTCTGAGGGCCTTGAAGACCTGGTTGGGAAACACTGGTGTGTTTACAATGTAGTACGTAATTAGAGCTCTGAATGATCAAGACATTCTAAATGCACAAAATATGGATAAATATTTATCTAAATATGGATAAATATGGATAAAATATTTATCTAGGAATTGAAAATCAAACTTGACAATGTGTGTGCCATTACATCTTAATTATTAAAATATAAAATATGACTGGACAGTGACCAGTGATGCAGATATTCAGGTTTGTTGGTTGACTTTAGTTTTTTTTTTTAAAGGCTGTTCTTAGTTGCTATAGAAGTTTTCTACATATTCACATGCTGGACCATTATTTCTGCTCCTTGGCCCAAAACTCCTTGACATTTTCCTGAAATTTCCTGTAGATATGGAATATTGTACATTGACAAGGTATGAAAGCTTAGTGTTCCCTTAGCTGAGTAAAAGCCTTCCTTGTCTGCAGAGGTCAGGTGACGTTTCCTCTTCTTGTGTTGTGACCAGATGTATGAGTAGCTGTAAGAAAGTCATTTGTAGGCTAGGTAGGCTTCTTGTCTTGCAGTCATAGTTAACACATGAGCGCGTACAGCCATTAAAAAGGTGTGAGATTTCTCAAGTAAGGAAGGGTAGATCTCAGCTGTGCATCGGAACTTTGACAGCTTGTAAATCAGTACAGTTGAGGTCATCTGGGAGAGAGCAAGGCTTTTGTGATGGAGGAACTGGGTATTAGAACTGCGTTTAGTGTTTCGTCGGAGTTCACATTCTAGCAGGAACACGTAATGAGAATTTAAAGCAGTCTGCTTTTATTTTTCAGAAAAAAGCATTTAAACTCAGTTTTTAGATAATTACAGCAGTTCTTAAGTGCATTAATTAATTATAGTAGGGATCAGGAGGCTAGATGACTTCAATCACAGAAGGAAAACAAGATCGTTTTGAATTAGGCCTGCTTACCCAGAGAACTTTCTCTCCAGATCAGGCTTGCATTCGTTAGCATGCTGCGAGGTTCTCAGCATTCATGGCTGTTTTTCCATTTTCTCCCCATTCTGTTCTGTTACTGTTCACTGACCTCTATAATTAGCCATCTTTGTGGACTGCAGGCATGCAGAAAACATGAAGCAAACATGTGCATACATTAAAGTAAATGAGCTGTGTCAAAGTACGCAATGTAGTTCTATGCATGCCTAGTCTTTTTAAAGGGTAACAGTCATTTTTGGCAGTTTTTTAGTGTCAGAAGGTGCCATGTCATGCCAGAAGTTCGAAAGAAAGTGATGTTTTTTGCTGTCAAAACCAATTCAGTGAAAATAAAATGAAGAAAAAAGTTCCAGTGACCTTTCTGGGCATGTATCAAACAGAGAGAGGACTCCTCTCCCAAGAGTCACAGCAGCAGCATGACTCTCCCATTTAGTCACTACCATTCCCTCTCTTAACTCCTTCAAACTCACATACAACAGTACAGGCTTACCAACCAGGACTACAAGACTACGCACAGTAATAGTTGGAGTTAGAGCCTAGTGACGCCGTCACATTTTCGGAGTTGATTCTCAAGTGACCAGATCGAGAGACCTTTCAGTGATGTGTGATGAAGACTAGCTTTTTTTCCTGCACATCCTTAAACAGCGCAAGCCGGTATATTGACTGAATCAGACTTAAAAAAAAAAAAACAAAGGACTAATTTTAAACGAAATTGTAGCTTTGCCACTTCGTAAAGATTTAACTGACTGGCTGTAGGCAAGAGGGAGCAGTCATGCAGTTCAGTGCTGACATAGCTGTGCCCCCACCAGCTATAACAGTCCAAATGACCTCTGAGAGATGTTAGGATCAAGCTTCATAGATTCTTGAAGAATAAACTTTATCACAAAATGTTTTGATGTTTGTTCTGAGTGTTTAATTATAGAAGGCTGGAAAATTGATCAATGCTATTTGACACCACGACTGGTTCCCTTTCAGTATAGTATTACATTAACATATAAGCAGAAACCATATTTAATGTGAGATTTTTAATAGTTCTTGATATAATTCCTAGACATGGTTTTTCACAGCATTGGCTAGAAAGCCTGAGCAGACTGTTACAGCTGAGAGCGGAACTGTTGTAGAATGTCATGTTGTGAATTGGAGGTCAAATCGCTCACCCCTAGTAAATCAGCACCTTCCTAAGCAAAACAACAGCCTTGTAGTTTAGCTTTGAAAGTGCAGAGGGCAAGGAGAAACCTGTATGGGCGTCATTTAAGTCTGTTTCCAAAACACTGCCTTTTTCCATTTTCTTCTGACTCCTCTCAATCTTCCTGAATCTGTTGATGACAGTACAGTTTTGCATATAAGTGTTAGCCCACTCTGTTGTTCTTTCTGACCAGTATACTTTTGGCACTTATAACAGAAATTCTAACACATTTATAGTGTCTTTACGAATATTGCTAGGATCTGGACCAGGAGATGCTGCCTCAGAGATGTCAACTCATGGTAACTATTTTTTATGATAAGTTACGTCTGTAGAGCCGATCTCATTCATGTTAAGTTTGTTTTTCTGATAATTTAAATACAAATAAGAACTACAAATGGTTAAACTTGGAGGTGTTCCTATGCCTAAGCTCTAGTGTAGAGGCATAGAGAAGTTGCTATAATTTAATGGCAATTTAAAGACATATGAAATGTTTATTTGTAATGTTGAAGAAAAAAATTCTGGTAAATCTGAGGAATAAGTTATCTTTGGATGCTATTTTTGGTACTATTATTGGGTACAATGCCCTGCATGTACTTCTCTGCCATGAATGAATTATAAAAAATATATTTTAGACCAAAATGTTATCTCAGAACAATAAAAGCAAAACAGTGTCTCAGGCATTAAGTAGTGCGTATGTAACCATTTCATGTAATAACTTTGTGATGTAGCTTATAGAGGCATTAATGCTTCAGGTATCTGGGTCTTCAGTAAAGTTGGCTTGCATGGCTTTTAGATCTAATCACTCTAAATGACATTGTCTACATCTTAACAGTTTAAGTATGTAGGAATTTTTAAAAAGTGGTGGAATTCCCCTTTAAAGTGTTCTCTTAGGATTTGTTGGGATGCATAATCATTTACCACTCTCGAGGAGAGGAAACGGGGCAGAGAGGACATTCTAAATTGTCAGCACAAGGAACACAGTTAATTTGTTGCAGTGAAATGGTTATTATTCAGCCTGGTGCTTTCATAGTTGGCTGATTTTAGTCAGGTCAAGTGAAGACTGCTGTGGCGATTGAGGTGTAATAATGATTATCATAGTAAATAATTAGATGTTTTTCTGCTGGGTTTTGTGCCTTTTGTTTGCCTTTTGAATAAAAAATGCTTGCAAAGAAGTGAAATGACGCTAAATGACGTGACACTGGTGATAATGATAGTACCCATTCATCAAACCCTGGGGATGGTATTAATTTTCTCCTTTGGCGTCCATATTGGCAGGAGACTATTAGTCCTAAGTGCTTTGTGCAGAAGACTATAGCTGAATTTCTGCTGCTTTGTTGAGCTTAATATAACTACTCATCTTGTTTTCCTGTATCAGGCTGTGTTGTTTTCGTCTGGTTTTGCGTGTCGCAGGTTGCGAGTCTTGGGGCTATAAATAGTGCAGTGAGGAACACTGATCCCCAGGCCATGCTCTGGTCCAGAGAGGGCTGGTACACATAGTAACAGACTATGGCTGCTGTTACCCCACCACTCTGAACAAACACAGCAAAGAGCCCAGCAAACTGTTAGAAAACTCATTAGGACTGCACAGTGTTGCAAATACAATATAACTTACCTCTCTGTGGAGCTTTACAATGTCAGTATTACAAAGGCCATCATGTTACAGTTCATCATGGTGAGAACAAAACCTCATAGTTTTATTCATTTTGGTGCATTTTTTAATCATAATTTTAAAACACAGATGCCCTTTATGTTTTATGAACATTTCAAGATGAATGGACTTACAGAAATGGTCCAGACTTTTTACTTGAAATAAAGCAGGGGTACCGCTTTTGTCTGGTACCGCTGGTCACATTTCACAGTTTGACCTGTGGTCTCAGTGGACACCTTCCTTGGATATATTTTTTGCTTTCTTTTCCCTTTAAACAAACCTGTTTTGTCAGACACTGAACTAATTGGACAAATAAGATTTTGTTGTAATTAATTAACTGAAACTGCTGTGACAGTCAACATAGCACTGTGGTGACTGTGGTGGCCCCTCCTGTTGAGCTGGTCTGACTGCTGTCACAGATGCTATTTGCTGGCTAAAGTATGGTAATCTCGCTTTATGAAATAAGGTCTTAAATAAATAAGCTGGAGTTGCAAGAGGCTAACCAGCCTGACCATCATGGTCACTACATGGCCCCAGTGTTTGTATTAACCCCTTTCTGCAGGCCTCCAAGTGGCTATTTTGCGGCGGAATGGAAATCAGATTCTCTGATATTTTTATGTATAATCAAACAAAATAGTTTACTTCAAAATATAATTAAAAATTAATTTAAATGTTTTAAAAAATATTAATATGAATATTTCCTTTATTGAAGCAGCACTTGGCTGGTTTGTGTATATATAATATATGTACTGTAAACATGTTTCTGTTATTTTGGCCACAAGATAAATTGGCTTGGTGGCCCTAGGAGCCAGTGCAATGTTTTTGGTGTCTATTTACCCTGAAAGTTATATTTTGTTCATTTACATTAAACGCTGATTTTTTTTTTTTCTTCTCTTGAACAGTTCCTGTTTTGGAGATACAAAGTTTTGTTCTGTGATGAATGAACAAACAATATAATGTTCAGCCCTAGAGCAGTAACTGTTCACAAATACATGTGCAGCCCTAGCAACCTTACAAACCCCCCCGCAAGCACAGACAAATGAACAAATCATAATGATACAAAAAGAGGTTACAAACCCCTGAAACATGGCGATTTCACTTGTGCGCACACACACATGCATGCATCCACCCTGTTGCTGGAGGAGCGAGAAACACCCCAGAGATGAGAGCACTCCCTGAAGCCCAGGCCAGCTGTCTGACAGCAACCACAACCCTCAAACCACCCAAATACAGATTGCAGGATGCAGAACAAATTTGTGTAGATTTGCAGCTCCCCTCAAGTTCAGAACACTAGTCACTAGCATGTACTTTTCAATGCCTTTGACATTTAGACTCTCGGGGTGTTTTCACACCTGCAGATTATTCTGAGTTGGTTTGGGTCAGTTGTGAACGCCGGCTCAGTCCCTGTAGTCGCCCTAAGAAAACACACTGCATTTCCGTTCGTGTAGATAATGAGGATGTTGTTTTTACCTCGAGCCAGAGAATTATTATGAAAATATTTTGCGTCATAGACGTGGCAATTACATGAGGGGGGGGGTTGTAATTTGCACGTGATGACCATTGTGCTGTATGTAATCTCTGCCTGATTTGAAATTGCTCTTTGGCAGGTGAACAGTTTAGCAGCACAATAGCCTGTGTGGGAGGATTTCTTTGTACTACTGTCTGCTTCAGTATAGTGCTTTCAGACATGGCCGCATGGTTATGGCAGTGTATTATTGACAGTATTTTCTCTATATGTTCTAAGTAAGGGCGCCTGTTTGGGTCGCAGATTTCACGATACAATATGTGTGTATTGCTTTTCACATCACAATGTGAAACATTTTTAATACAGATTTAGAAAAGAATTTCTAAAACAACTTCAGCATTTATTTTTGTATTTATTTATTTTTTGGTTATTTCTGTTTTGTGATTTCCGCTGTTGTTGAGGAAATAACTGGCACAAGTTGTTTTCTCAAAAGACGTAAAACAAAAGTGCAATATCTTAATAAAAATAAACAAAAAGGTGAACTATAAGGTTACATCTCAATACTGAATAAACTGAGCTTGACAAGTTCATTTACAAACTGATCTTGCTTTTTTGTATAAAATGTTCTGTTCCACCTTAAATGAAGCAACAGTAACATGTAACTACTGCTCGATTTGAAGGAACAGAAAGTTTGAATAAGAAGTTGTCTAACTGTAGCGTCATGTTTTCTCCTCGCTCTGGTAACTGACACATTGAGGTGAAGTCTTCATAAATGTGGTATTAGCACAGGTGTCTGTTGTGGTGAGCAGTGGTGCTGCTTTGTCACGGTTCGATCTACCACTCTTCCCCATCATTATGGCACTCAACTTAGAAACTTCTCCATTTCAAAAAGCTAACCAGCCATCCAAGGTAGGCTAACCAAAGCAGTTTGTCAGTAAAAATTGAGTATTAGCGTGTGTATCTCGACACCCCGAGTGCCTAATGAACACCCCAAGACCTGAATTAGGGCCAAACTGATATGAACATTTTGTGACTGATACTAATTTTAAGGGGCTTAATTTAGATAACATATTTAATTTTTATAAGTATGTTTTTCTTTGTTTTTGTTTTAATATTTCTAATTTGAATTTTATAAATAAATATATACAGTTAAGGAGTGACTGTGATTGTCCATTGTCAGTTGTAACTTGTGAATTGATTGAAGTATCAGCAAATATAATGTAGCACAGGGCCCAGAGCTACTAATTTCTTTGGGTCCCATTTACCAATATCTTCCAAGGTTTTGAAAAAGGTCCTAAGAAAAAGTCTACGCCAAATTTTTTCTTAAGAATAGTCGGTGAATGAGGCCCATTGTTCTTATTTTTAATCGGTTATTTTCACAGTGTTATAACTCATGCTGAAGATTAGGTTTAGGTTTAAATTTACCAGTGGCTGTGTGTTACAGTGATTTTATCATGGTTAATGGGTGTTGTTAGGCACAACACAAAGCATCTTACTCTAACTAGACTATTGACTGTTAGGAGTTAAGCCACAGTCACACTGAACTGCCACCTCGCTAGTATGGGCAGTCCTGATGCGATGTGATTTTGGAGGGAATGTGTAGTTTGCTGTATGGTTAATGTTAGCTGGTTTACCATTGTTATTTTATTTCTTTATTTTTGTAAAGGGTTTTTGTTTAAATTATTATTACCAAGAATTATAATGAAGTAAGGTAACCTAGTAAAGAACAGAAAACATAGACATTGCCAAGATTACAAAAAAGGAGAAAAGGAAAAACACATACACATTACATTAAATACTTTGATTGCATTAAGTGTCTTTAGTCATTTCTTCTTTTTTGAATATTGACAAAATTTTGCTTGAAATCTTCTAAAAAGTGCATGAATACAGGGAGAAAGACTATTTTAATTTGTGTATATCAAACTTTCCTAGTATAAGAAACAAGTAAACTAGCTTGTTTTTTCCAACTGTGTGGGACAAGCAACATTATATTGACTGTGGTGTTTTGTTTTTTTTTTGTTTGTTTGTTTAATTTTATTTATTTATTTATTTTATTTTTCATTTGTTCGTGAAGATCACACAGCTCACCCTGTTGTCTTCTGTTGGCTCATGCCTCTGAGGTTTGTGAATTTGAGGGTTAAAGCTCACCTAAAGTTCACCTTTCATGTAAATCAGGACACTAGCAT